GGGGGGGCGGGGAAGAGACGAGACTGAAGAGCGAAAGCAAAGGAAGAAATATAGGGCATGTGTTAAGAGAGAAGAACAAAGGAGAGAAAGGTAAAAATGTATAGGGATTCCCCAGCAGTCCCATGGGCTTCAAACCCCGACAGAGAAAGATATATGGCTCGACAAAGGGGGAACTGCAGGGAACTCCAACGTCCCATCCACAAACTTGAAGTTGGCTGAGAACACACCAGAGCTGATGGGTGCCAAACCCAAATGGACCCAAGAAGTTAGCAGTTATTCCCCATTGTCTTATCATGAAGAGATACCCAGTTTTAATCATGTAAAGACTTAGAATTTGTTGTTGAAGTTGGATGATGACAAACGAGACCAAAAAATCAAAGAAGCCATGTTAAACAATAAGCTGGTTTTATTAGAATTGGGTGTGATGAATTCTTCTTTGGACAAAGTAAAGAATAGGGAGGTGGATGACAAGCGGCATGTTCACACCGGCCCAGGCCATGGACCAGCATGGGGCCACGGACCAGAGGCTGGGGACCCCTGATCTAAAGGGCTTTCTTCTATATGAACCTGCTCAGGCTTTAAGGTCTTTAGCAGTCTCAACAACTTATGAGAAGCATTTGGTAATCAAACAAAACAGAACTTTCTCTAACCTTTGGAATGTGGTATCTATCTATCACCACATTCCAAAAGTTAGAGAATGCCCCACACATACAGTCATGTGAGAACGAAAGTACACCTTCTTTGAATTCTATGGCTTTATGTATCAGGACATAATAAATATAGCCTGGTCCTTAGCAGTTCTATAAATTCTGTAAATGCAACCTCAGATGAACAACAACATACGACATATTACACAGTGTCATTATTTATTTTACATAAATAAAGCCAAAATAGAGAAGCCATGAGTGTCACCCACATATTGGTGATACTGAACCCCAAAACTCTGAGCAACCTTAATTTAACATTTTAAACAAGACAGAACCCTGTAGATGTTAACTTAACATTTTAAACAAGACAGAACCCTGAGGGAACCTGGCGTGGGGGGGGGACACAGGTGACGAGGTGCAATTATCCAAAACTGATTAAGGCTGGACCTTAAGCATATCATGAGAAGGCAAGACTCCTTGGAAATGACAATATTGCTAAGAAAAGTGGAAATCTGGAATAAAAGAGGGAGGTTGAACATGAGATAGATTGACTCAATAAAAAAGCCACACCGTTTAGTCTGCAAGACATGAGCTGTACTGTTTATGTAAGATCTTCTAGAAATCAGTAAGTTCCAAGACCCCCTTGGAAGCAACTAGAGAGCTAATGTAACAAATTAGCAAAGGTAAGGATCTGTACTATTTGAAGGCAGTCACCCTAAAGTTCAGGTATTCTTTTTGCTTACCTATGCTGAGACAAATTAGTGGTGACTAGAACAGTCTTCACCTCTTCAACACCACTGCCATCAACCACATTGTCTGGAGTCGTTACTACCACCACCTCCTCCATGTGGACACTCACATCTGGAGTTGCCATCATCAGAATAGCAAATGCAGCCAAGACTGATGTTGAGGGTAAGGTCCTTTCTGCAGCCTTTGCCCTGTCAAGAAAACAAAAACTGAAAGCTGTGATTTCTTCAAGTGAATTTTTAAAAAGCCATGCATTTCTTATTTCCACTATAATTACCCTGTGTCCCTCTCAACAAGCAATCTAGAGTAGGAATGAAAGCATGAGAATCACAGACACTGTCATCATCAAAGTAACGTGCTTGGCACGTAACCTTTCACTTATGAGACAGTATGGAAGCTGCCCTAACAGAAAGAAAAAAATTCTAAGTGGTAAAAATATATCCAGTTCCAAAAGGGAAAACCTCATATATTTAGGAGATATATCGTGTTGTAAGAGGGCACTAGAATTTTTGTTTGTTTTAGGTTGAACCCATGAAGCCATCTTCTACTGACAGTCAGATCACCAGTCTATATAGCTCATTAACTGTGTTGCCTTACAGGAAATGGCTCTCTAACGTCCTTTTACTCTGAAATCCTTTCAGCTGAAATGGCAGGTGATTCATACACAACTGTAACCAATAAAGGTAAAAAGTAACATCGTATTCAAATATTCAGGTTCATTGCATCACCTTTTCAAATACCACATGCAGTCCTGTGAGCTGAACAGAGGCTATAGCCTGCTGCACTTTAATTATATAGCATCAGAATCAAATAAAAATAGGCTCAGTCTCTCCCTGACTTCCAGTTGGTATCATCTGCAGGACTAACGCAGAATCTGAAGCTGCTGCTCCTCTCTGCACATTCCTCCCACTCACATATACTGATTTCAAACAGATAACACTTCGAACAGCAGAATCTTAACATTTTATTCAAGTCAAGAAAGAGGATTATTGGGACAAATGCATAGATATGCACAAGTACAGCTTCCATCTGTGACAACCGATGCAAAAAGGTTGTGCAGCTCTGCACTGGAGCACAAAATAATGTACATCTAGTTACTCATGGCCAATACTGAACTGCATGCAGTAAGAGCATAACATGTCATTGTAAAGGAGTAACACATTACAAACCATGGAAAAGAGAGACAACGGTGTATTAAAATGGTGTAAATTGCCTTGATGACCTGGTCTTTGACAAACAGAATATAAACTGGAGTGGGTGGGGGAGGAGAATCACAACACCTGCGTGTGGGTTGAGACTACAATAAAACTGCTGCATTTAAATGATGCACCTGATGATTTTCACCAAGATGACATTGCTTCTTACAGGTTAATTCTATGAATCTGGAAATAACCGTTGCAAGTGCTGTATTAGTAGGTGTTGTTGACAAAAGCATACTTAGTCCAACATTTTACCCACACCTACCTGGAAGCAAGTCCCACTGAACTTAACAGAACCTATGTCCAAGTCGATGTTCCTGGGTTCCAACCTAAGAGTAAGCCCAGCTGAACACAACAGGCTCTGCTGCCACATACGCACAACACACAGGATGGCACCTGGCACAATATGAATGTGCAAAAGAACTGCTTCCTGCTGCCATCTGCAGAATGTTCCTGCATAAAACCTGGACGCTTCATAGTGAAACAAGGGAGGAAGCAACAGTAGAAAAGCTTCAGCTTTGCTGAAGGTTGTTTTGATACTTGAATTAATCAACTGTGCCTGCCTGTTTAAATGTGACTTTAAAGATTTAAAAGTTGCAAGAAAAACAGTTTTGGACTTACACAATCCAGCCTTCATTGTGCTGAAATGTAGAGAGGCATGCACCTCAGGATAGGGGCTGGCCTCTGTCACGCAATAAATATTATAATAATATTTTGCCATCAAGCCAATTCTGACTTATGGCAACCCTTTCCAACGAGCATAATTATAATACTAAAAACCATAACCATGGTGGGAGGAAACATACCACGGTCACAAGTTCTGGGTCGTTTTAAGGAGAAAGGTGGGTTAAAAATTATTTTAATTAAATTAATTAAATGAGTAATAGATTTCCTATTTAGCTTTTGGTGGGTTTTTAGGACTTTCTGCTTGAACCTCACATTTTAGACCACCGTCATTCAGAGAAGAGTTCTGGAGAATGCGAGTGCTTGCTTTCCTTTCAGAGATCTCTAATAAAGCCATGACCAGTGATATAAAATTTCCATTTTTTCCAAAAATGATCTTTTTCCCTATGGAAAAAACCTATGTATGTAAAGTTATCTAGACTGGATTGACTGAGAAATGAAACTTTTTTTCTGAAAAAAAAACCAGGCAAAATGGTTCCCCTCCCCCAGAAAAAAATTGCATGTATGTAAAGTTATCTAGACTCCATCGACTGGGAAATGTCTTCTTTTTCCCCTTCCAGAAAAAAAATTGTGTGCATATTGTTATCCAGACTGTGCTGACTGAGAAATGGAAATTTCTTCCCCCCCCCAGAAGAACACAGGGAAAACTTTTTTCCCCCTTGAACATATAGGTATATAAAGTTATCTAGATTGGATCGACAGTGATCCATTTTTCTGGGGGACCCCCCCCCCCAGCTTTTTCCTTGCTTCTCCCCCCCCGGGGGGAAATGGAATTTTTTCCATCTCTAGACCTAGAACTTTTTTAAAAAGTTATTTAAAAACAATTTTTACAGGTTTTTCAGAGGCAAAGGCCGAGGTGGGGAAGGAAAAGGAAGGAGGGAGGGCGCGTCTGGGTCTCAGGGGGGCGCCTTTTTTTTCTTCCACAAGAAGAAGGGGAGGGGAACGGTTGGGAGGGGGGGGAGAAAGAGAGAGAAAAGCAATAGGCCGGGCCGGGCCGGCGGGGCGACGCGGGACCTTCGGCCGGGCTCGCTCTTGCTCTCTCTCTCTCGCGGGCGCACGCGCAGACGATCGAGGCGGAGGTCGCCTCGCGGCGCGTGAGGGAAAAGCGAGCGCGAGGGGGAGGCGTCGCTGCGCGCTCG